CCAATTCCCCAGCGCTGTTCCCATCCCCTAATTCCCCAATAAAATAAAAAAATCTTAAAAAAAAGAAATTAAACATACAATTACAATTCGGTCCACCAATTCCACTTCTGGGTATATACCCAAAAGAAATGAAAGCAGAGACTCAAACAGATATTAGTACACCCGTGTTCATAGTAGCATCATGCTCAAACAGCCAAAAGATGGAAGCAACCCAAGTGTCTATTTTCTGTTGATAGATGAATAAATAGACAACATGTGGCATATACATACAAATGCAATATTATTCATCTTAAAAAGAAAGGGAACCCTGACACATGTTACAACATGGATGAACCTTGAAAACACTATGCTAAGTGAAATAAGCCAGTCAGAAAAGGACAAATATTGTATGATTCCGCTTATATGAGGTACCTAGAGTAGTCACATTCATAGAGACAGAAAATAGAATGATGGTTGCCAAGAGCTGGGGGAGAGAGGAATGGGGTGTTACTGTTTAATGGGTACAGAGTTTCAGTCTGGGGAGATGAAAAAGTCCTGGAGCTGTGTGACGATGGTTGCATAATGATGTGAGTGTACTTAATGCCACTGAGCTCCATAACTCCACTTAAAAGTGTTTACAATGGTAAATTTTATGTTATGCATATTTTACCACAATTTTTTAAAACCCAGCATTGACTTTTTTTTTTTTTTAGCTGAGCCATCCTGCCACCTGTTGGCAGCTCAACGGCAGTTCAGATCGGGCTGGGACTTGAACCACTGTTGCTCAGAGTTCGAACTCTTGAGTGAGCTCTTAACCAACTGAGTCACTTGGCTGACCCAGCATTGTCTTTAAGAAAGGCATACACACAAAACAATTAAACTGAAAAACACTTAGATTCTTAAAGAAGTTATTGCTCAGCTATCTGGCAAACAGCAATTCAAAAATGACTCTTCTCAAATGGTTCCTTATAGCGCAGATTTAACCTTTGCTTTCTTTAGACGCTTGAGTCACATTCCTTCATATGTGTATTACTTAGGTATTCATTCACTCACTTATTCATGCAGTCAGTATATATTGAGTAGCCACTATGCACACCATCACCTCACTAACTGTGAAGTGCTACAGGTGGACCTCGCTTGGGTAGCTTTATCTGGTAAAGCCCAGAATATCGGGTAAAGCCCTGCGAGGTCAGATGGCAGAGCTGTCAGATAACAAATCAAACAATGCTTATGAGTTGAAGACCTAGCTCAGAAGCAAGACATAAAAACATGAGAGATCAGCGATCCCAGAGAATAAATTACAATGCAAACTGAGTGACACAGATAATTTCAGAAAAATTGGACAGGTTACACAATGTTAAAGCAGGAAGTCGTGTTCCTTTGGTTTTGGAAAGTTGGGTGCTGAAAAGTAAAGCAACCTGTCCAAGGTCACATGGCCAGGATAAGTGACACTGCCAAGCCCAGCCCTCACATTCCCCGGCTCAGTCCCCTGTGGACCCCACCCTAGGTCGTTAGAGTGATATCTTCAGTTACAGGGAGCACCAGCAGTGGTGTCAGCACAAGCAACCCTGGAGCCTATCACATAGGTCACACTCACATCCGATTTCACCCCAGGGCCCCACCTAGACAACCAGGCCAGTCCCGGTGTCTATGCTTTGCACCACCACTTTAATAATTTATGCCTTAAATCGATAACAGCACTTTTCAGAAAAACAAATTGTGCCCAGATGAGGAGGAAGAACAAATCCTGGCCCAGATTCTTTTCTTCAGTAGGATTCTGCTTGAACTTTTTTCCCCAGTTTAATTGGCTGACATCAAATTCCTTTGAAAAATAGATTTCTTATTAGATTTGAAAATAGCCCACATCCATTAACCGCCTATTAAATGTAAATGGCTGTATCCTGAGCTTGAGATTCCTTACGCTCTTGAAATCGGCAGACTCCTAATAACGAACTCCAGATTTTAAACCCAGTTTTTTGCTTCCCTCTTCCATGTAATGCTCCAGAGAGACAAGGAGCACTCCCTTCTGTTAACAGCTGCCTGCCATTATCAACTGAATGCAAATATTAAGTCAGGGGCAGTTCTAAGAGGCTGACTGAGGAGAAGGGCTGGGTCCACAACAAAGACAATAGAAAGTGTAACAATGAGGCAGGATGCGGGAGAAGGACTGATGAGGACATCCGGTTCTAGGAACAAATTCAATTTTTTCTTGGATGGAAAAGTAGGGCACCTGGCTAAAGAGGAAATGGAGCCATAATTGCTGAATATATATGAATGAGTGTTAGGGACTCCGGACTGGGCCTGCAAATCAGCCCAGCTGTGGGCCAATTTGTGGTGGTCAAACTACTACCAAATGGTCACTTCCTTTCCACTCCCCCTTCCGTTCTTGGCCTCCTTTGATAGTGATGTGTGCACTGTTTGGACCCTTCTCCTGTTCCTAGTGCCTCTCCAGGCAGGATGTGGAGGGAGTGATGGAGGTGGAGGGAATCTTAGATGATTGGTACAAGATGCAGAGCTTCAAGCAGATTCCCTCTGCTGACGGCCACATGCCCGACTTGTTTCCTCTTCCTTCCGTTAGGAACACACAGTGAAGCTTACGACCACAACGATTGCCTGATTTGAACCAGATCTAATTATCTCCCACATAATAGCTTTTGCTCCACAAACATGAGTCCACCTGTGAGTGATTTTCTCTGGGTATAGTTAGCCCATGGATACCCTCACCTCCTGAAAAAGGTGTGAATAGCACAGAGAGGCGTGGCCAGGCCAGAATAGTTGGCTTTCCAACATATTGTATGCATGTGTGGTCTAATGGAAAATATTCCATCTAATTGTTTTCACATTCTGAACGCTCTCAGTTAAAATTCCCACTTAATGCTTGAATGTTTCCAGGGTTTGTATCCAGGCAAGGCAGTGGGAATTATCTTTTATAAGAGAGGCTCAGTTTCAAAATACGGGCTCTGCAACCATCTGCTAGTGTACAAGTTCTAATACTTATTAGAGTGAGCATGTAAGTCAATATGTGCTGTAAGCAGAAAGTGGCCCGTCTGCATTCAGTTATACAGCCCACAGTCTTTTCAAAAGAGATATACGGTCAAAGCTTTGAAAACTCAGTCCTGTGATGCAGGACTGCTGTCCATATTACCAGGAAGAAGTGGGTGATGGAGAGCATGAGACTACACCTGTCTAAATGGGAGATCCTGAGAGCTCTGTGCACCACCACAGTGCCAGGAGAATGCAAACAACTCAGTGTGCCAAAGCATAAACTATGGAATCCTTTATGAAAAAACTCACAACTGGCTTGCTTTACAAGGGCTATCTTTACAACAAGATTGAGTAATTCAAATAATAGTTGCAATTTATCCAGAATGACAAATCTCAGAGAGATCCATTTACTCATTCATTCATTCACTCTGTCCACCTACATGTGCCAAAACTTTGAGGTGTTGAGGATTCAAAAATGAGAAAAAGATAAGAATCTGTCCTTGTATACTTTTCCACTCTCAGGGACAGTCTGGTTTAAAGAGACCCCATTTGGGGTCCATGCTCTAGATCTCCAGGTCCCTTGCGGACAGGTCCCTTGATGTGCCAGATGACAGGCATTTGAGTCACATCCTTAAGATCATCCTGTTGACACCTATACCCCTTGAATGGTGTGAGGATGCCTGAGAGTCTTATTCTTTTTTCTTCCTTCATTTCAAAGAAGATAGAGCTGCAACTTTCCCCTGGTAGCAGCAATGAAGTGTTTTATCTTGCAGGACTGGAAGAAGCCAGCTTCTTTTACCTCCCATTTCTGGGCCCAGACTTTTCTTTCTTAAATCCCAAATACACCTTGTGGGGGTAAGAAAGAGGGAGCATGCACCCCCATTTCAGATAGGTGGGGCCTTCAGCTTGGGCCTTAACATTGCTAAATGAATTCAATGGGCAGACCCAGTCCATCCACTCTCTAAAAATCATCCCCATCACAGGTGAAACAAAGGTAAAGTAAAGGGCAGAGTAATATTAGTAAACATAAATGCTGTGTACAAGTATACATTGCTTGAAATTTGTGAGGAAAAGGAAACCCAGCCGGGCATTTAGTGGAGCAAGCCCTTCTCCAACACCCAGGGCCACTTACTTCTGCAGGTTTTCTTATCTGGATTCAGGGTAAAGCCTTTTAGGCAGCGGCAGGAATAGGAATCGTCTGTGTTAACACACTCATGCTGACATCCATGATCAGGTGAGGCACAGTAGTCTATCTCTGGAAAGAAAGATCATATAAAGGATGAACAAAATGATAAATCTAGCTTAGGGAAACCAAGGGATCTTCAGTCTTAACTTTCCTAGACAGATAAATTCCCGTAACCTCAAACACTCATGCCATGAAGGGATCACTCAATGAAGCTATTTCCATGTTTAGGGATATGGCCCCCCAGGAAGAGAATGTTTATACAGTAATGTTCTTCATAGCATTTTTCATCCTCCAGCACAGGATCCAGTATAGGGTCAGAGATCATATTTACTTTTTATATATACTTAGCCTCCTTTAATCTAGAACTGTGCTGTCTAATGTGGCCATTTAAATTAAAATCGATTAAGATTAAATAAAATTAAAAATTCAGTTCCTCGGCTGTGCTGGTCACATCTCAATTGCCCAGTCGTCATAGTAGCTCCTGACTATTCTATTGTATGTTACAGATACAGAAATTTCATCATCACAGAGGGTTCTATTCAAAACCAATAGTCTAGAACATTTCCACAGCCTCTCTTTGCGTTTTATGATATTAACATTTTAAAATAATATAGTCTCTCCTACTTGTTTTTAGTTTTATTGAGGTACAATTGACAAAAAAGCAACTTATTTAAGAGGACAATATTTTTTTTAAAGATAAACAATTTGATGAGTTTTGACGTATGTATGTGCCCATGAAACCACCACAATCAAGATAACGAACTTAGGCATTACTCTCAAAAGCTTCCTTGTGCCCTTTTCTAATTCATTCTTCCCCACTCCTTCTGGCCCCCAATAATCATTAATCTTCTGTCAAGATAAATTATTTTGTGTACTCTGGAATTTTATAAAAATGGAGCCAGATAGAATGCATTCTTTTT